TGGCCCCCCCCCGCGGGGGGGGGGGGGGAGTCACTGAGACACGGGTGGGGTTTGGTACCCAGGGGCTGGGGTGTGAGAGGCTTGAGCAAATGGGGAGCAGGAAGTTTCTAAGGGCCCCAGTGGCCTGGTTGAATCTCACCTCTTTGATCTGGTCCACATAACCCAAAAATTTCTGGATCATCTGAGCCACATAGACTACATCCATCATGTCTGAGAAGCTGGCAGCCTCGGCCGTGTACACTCGCAGCTGGTGGGCCAGGGTCAGCGCGTTGGAGGCGTTGATGGGCATCTAGGAGCGTTAGGGAAAGATAGTGGATAGTCCAGTCTTTCTCCTTCTTCTCCAGAATTGCCCCTGGGGGCCCCTCCTCTGTGCTAATGCTTTGGGGAGAGGGTCTGGCCCCCCGGCTGGGTCTAACCAAGACAGCAGGCAGAGTAAGGAGTGAGCTCATCACGACTCAAGGCAGCCCACTTCTAGGCCACTGGCTGAAGCACAGTGGCTGACTCATGCTGTCCTTGCTGTCCCCCTTAAGGCTGCCCTTGCTGTGTTGGGGGATGAAGATGCTGGGGTGGCTTGCACTTCCTGAGTGTGGCCTTGGGGGTCTGAATCCCCTGGAAGAAGGAGAGCTGGAGGAGAGCAAGAGCCCCGCACGGTGCACACCCAGGGAGCAGAGGAGCATTGTGAGGCTTCTCCCCTCCCGGTCCCTGGAACCAGAGCTGATGGGGTGCCCACCGCCCCCTGTCCTGGCCTCACCAGCACGAAGGTGTAGAGCACCCGGGTAATGTCGTTGGTGTACAGACAGTGGGAGTAGTCCCCTGGCTCCCAGCGGCCAGCTCGGTCACACAGGCGGGAGGCCTGGGTACCCGGAGTGCCCCCGCTCAGGGGCACCGAGGTGAAGGGGTACTGCAGGCAGGACTGGTAGGCTGTGATGCCAGCCAGAGTTCGAGGCCACCTGGGGGCAGAGGCAGGAATTGCCAATGACCCAGGCCCCTCAAGGCAAGGGCCCCACCCCTCCCCTTAGAACTGTGATGCCGGACCCTCTGAGGAAAGGATCCAGAAGAGTGGTTTGGGGCTGGCCTTCAAGGGATTCCCAAGCTCCACTTTCTAGCTGTATTTGTACTGCTAGTGCTGTCATTGGTGCTATGGAGGCTGGACTTGAGTCCCAAGTTCAAGTCACTTATCCTTTCTGGGCCTCAGTATTCTCAGCTGTACAATGGGGAGAATCATACCTCCTTCCTAACTGAGAGACCCATTGGGATATTAAATGTGATATTCAAGTGGGCGAGCTTTGTAAACTATTAATGTAAAGAAGCAAATAAAATCCTTTCAGTTCTGCACCACACATTTCAGATGGTTATAATCAAAAGATGAGGTCTCTGAATACAACAGCAGGACTTGGAGCTGAGTGACTAAAGGGAATGTTTTCTCCAACTTAGAGTGGATGGGAGACCCTGGTCACCTGTGGTCTCAGATGCAGGAGTTGGGGGTGGGGTGGGGGGCTGGGTTGGAAGCTGTTGGGTCTCTGGGGCAGCTGAGCACACCGAACCTGAAGTCCCCTCGGTTGTTGGCAACACGCTCGGCTGGGCAGTAGGAGGCAGAGATCTCCAGCACCACAATCTCCACCTTCTTGCTGGCGTTGCCCTGGACCGTGGACACGGAGCACTCCCATTCGCCTGAGGCGCCCACACCGATGTGAGACAGGGTCAGTTCACTGCAAGCAGGCGGGCAGGGCTGGCTCGGTGAGGTACTCAGGGGCCACGCCACCCCCCTGAGCGCCCCTGGCCTGGCCACCCACAGGCGCCCTGCCCCAGGGTGTGTAGGATGAGCTTCAGGTTGTTTATTCTTCAATTGAGTGAGGGACACAAGGACATACTCCTTTCATTCTGATTGGCCTTGTGAGCTTCACTTTCCCCATCTTTATCATGGAGGGAATAGCTGTCTTACAAGTCGATTGGAGAGCGTGAGTCTATAACACAGGTGAGAGCCATTATAGCATACTCTGTAAAAGCTCTAAAGAAATGTCAGATATAATCATTTTCTCTATTAGGCAATTAATTTCTATCCCTTATCTGGACTGTTGACGTAGCCCTGGCCTTCCATGAACGCGCGCAGGCGCACTCTGACACAGGCGGCATACTCCCAGGAACGTGTGTGGGCACAGCTCTCTGGGGGCAGGACATGGGTGCTGTGGCTGGGAAGGGGCAGCGGGGCCTGTACCTGGTGATGATGGTGCAGTCGTGGATGAGGCTCTCGGCCAGGAGGATGCCCGCCTGCTCATCACTGTCCACGGGGGCCCGGTTGTGGTACCAGCGGATGCGGGTGTCGTTGCCCAGGTAGCTGGCAGAGCACTGGAAGGGCAGGCGGTCCCCCTGGAACACCACTTGGCGTCGGGATGGGATGAGGTAGTGCGTGTGTAGCTCCAGGGCCCCCTCTGTGGGAGGAGAGGGCAGGGGCCTGAGTGCACAGTGTGGGAGAGTCCAGGAGGTGGGCCTCCT